AGAAGAGGGGTAAGCAGATGACAGGTGCCAATTCCGAGACAGAGGTGTGACTGGGAGAGCTGACAGCAGTGATGGGCGGGTGGGAGAACTGGGAGGCTCGGGCACAGCAGGCGGGCTGGCAGCACCCAGAGGAGCGTGTGCCAGCGTCGTCCTCACGGCTCTGGAGACTTCCGGGGCCATGGGGCCCATTTTGAAGGTGGCCATCTTAAGTCGGGCTCACTGTTCACACCGCCCTCATGGTGCTTTGTTGTCCAGATCTCATTCCGGCGTATCTGTTTGGGATGATTTGTTTTCATTTGTAAGTCATCTTCTCTGGGGAAAAACAAACCAGATAAAGTGGGTCCTTGTGGCGGGGGTGTCGCAGGCGGTGTGTCCGGCCTGGCGCCGCTGCCGAGTCCTCCCTCCCGGGCTGGCCAGCCTGGGGAGGGCTTTCGGCCCCATTGTCACCACTTGTTGTCCTAACAGAGCTGCTTCTGTCTGGTGCTTCAGACCCACACCAGCGCCGCTCAGTGCCTTGCTCAGTTACTGCCCCGCTCCCTGGCTCCTCGCACAGCTTAGCTCTTGCTGGCTGAGGTCGGGAAAGTCGTGCCTGACTTCCCAGCTGTGCTGTGCCTGGGCTCTACTTGGGGACACTGGCAAGCTCTCCATCTGTTTCCCCCACCCTCCACCTTTGCCCGTTGTCTCTCTCCAGCTGCATCTTCTTGTCTTGCTGTTTGTTTTTGAGCAGTTCACCTTCCTCTCCAGGTCATTTGTATGTAATTTTGTATTCCTTAAGCTAAGGTCTGTGTTTCTTTTTTCAACTGGAAGCTCTTTAATGGCAAGACCAGCGGTGGGGTAGTATCCTGAGCTAGTATTTTAACATTGTGGGAGAAGGGGCACAAAATGGAGTTGTGTTGCATTTTGTTTGCAGCCTGATGGATGGGCTGCCTTCGAAAATGAAAATGACACCCTATTCATGTATACACTGGTGTTCACTGAATGGACTTCTAAGTCATCTTAAGGTCTTCCCACTTTAAATGTGAGACGAGTGCCAGCAGGCCGCTGCTAGGTGTTCAGTTGTCTCCGTTATAGATGCTGAGGTTATTTCTGCAAACGTGATTTTCAGCCCTCCAGCGTTCTCCGCCCCCTGTGCCGGTCAGAACCCAGCGTCGCACCCACCGCCCGACGACGCCGAGCAGCAGGCCGCACTCCTGCTGGCCTGCTCGGGGGACACTCTGCCCACGTCGCTGCCCCCCGTCAACATGTACGACCTCTTTGAAGCTCTGCAGGTAACTCGTGGCTTCTTGATACTAGTGTTCGCTCTAATTTACCTAGACGTATGGATAGGATACACAGTTCAGCTCCGCGAAGTTAGTTATGAGTTTGTTTTTACTTTCTGGCTTCGTGTTTTTCAGTTAGTATTACTAACTGCCAGTCTCATTTTTCACACCCTGAGTGCTCCCCAACCCCGATCCTCTGCCTCCCCAGTGACAGGGACAAAGATCCGCTTGTTCCCTGTTTCAGAACCTCACTTCCTGTGCTTGTTAGTAGATTTAGTAGTTGTTAGCTTCTGATTTCAGGTGTCTGTGTCGGGCGCCTCCGTGTTTTGTTGACATAAGCCCTCGCTCTGTGTGGTAAAGTGTAACTGGAGCCGTGCTTCTCTGCCCCAGGTGCACAGGGAGGTCATTCCTACACACACTGTCTACGCCCTTAACATCGAGAGGGCCATCATGAAACTCTGGCACCCGAACCACGAGGAGCTGCAGCAGGACAAGGTGCACCGCCAGCGCCTGGCTGCCAAAGAGGGGCTTTTGCTCTGCTAGGACCCGGGGGCGCGCGACCCTCGCAAACTCATGAGTAGCTTTCGGATGCACATTTCAAGGCTGAAGTGTATACTGTACATATAACCTTTCCTATGGAAATGTGACACTGAGTACATTTGTGTTGCTACTGTGGAGCCACGAACAGGAAGCTTCACTCGGGTCGGGCCCCGAGCTGTGTGTGTGGTGCTCCCGCCGTGGGAGCAGGCACTGAGGAGACTGCGCCTGGAATGCTCGTGCCCAGGCATCTGAAGCGCAGCGGGCTGCGGGCTGCGCGTGCTCGAGGCGACACCTGGAACAAGGAAGCTGCTGTCGCCCCGTCTCCGGGGAGAGGTCCAGACTTCCTGCCATTCTGCTGAAGAATTATGCTCTTGCATTTGGGTTGCAATAACCTGCACAGTGTTAAATATCAGATTACCTCCTCATTTTTTAAAAGCTATATCCCAGGAAAATTTATCACTACAACTCTACAGAAAATATGACTTGGAAATGCTATGCTCTTTGACAAAATAAAGTTACGTTTGAAAACAAAATCAAAACAAAACTTTTGGAATGCAATTAATCAACCTTATTAAATTACTCAAGTTTTTTTTTTTTTTAGAGTGAATATGCGAAAAGATTGATTGGCATGGCCATTTGTTATCACTGTAGAATTTCTACCCTTTCAAGTGATGAAACAAAAATAATTTACATTTGACAGTGTTACTGATAACCAACTTTTTTTTTTTGAGATACATTGCTCTTTCTGAAGAGTTAGTGTTGATGGATAAATTAGAATGTAGATGCATCTGTGTAGGTCTAAGTGATGGATGTATTGATGTGTACATATGGTTCCTATATCTGGATTTGTGTGATTTTGTACTTTAAATGTGACAAATAAACCTTTTGGGAGGAAACATTTTTTGTCACTGAACATATAAGGAATACTGCCTTCTACAGAAATAATGAAAAGCCTGACTTGAGATCTTGGTAGAAACTTCAGAAGAATGTCCTGGATGAAACAAAGATTAAAAAGCACGTTCTGATTAAGGTGTGCCATTTCTTCCTTTTGTATTCTGGAGGTTAGAACTCAAAAAATCAAGTTTGCTTTCAGTTCTTGGCATAAGCCCTCGAGAGTTCTAAGTAAGAGAATACTCAAGAATTTTTCAGGTTTGGAAGACTGTGAACTGCTAGTCGGTGAATACAGTGGTTTTATTCTGGACCATCTGGGCCTTCGTGCTTCTCTGGGAGCATCTGCTAGACCTCAGGAGGCCTGCTAGCAGGTGTTCACTCGGGGGCGGACGCCGTGTCCCACAGCAGAGCAGCTGGGTTTGAGTTCCCTGCTCAGGCTTCTGACTTCAGCTTCTGCATAATGCAGACCTTGGGAGGCAGCAGCTGTGGCTCGGGTAAGTGGGGTTCCTGCCACCCATGTGGGAGACCTGGATTGATCCTGGCTGCTGGCTTCCACCTCGGCCAGGTGGGCATTTGAAGAATGAACTTGCAGATGGCAGTCCGTCTCTCAAAAAAATAAACAAACAAAAATAAAACACACACAAAAACAACTTCGTAAACCATGAACTCATGAAATGCGCGGGCAGAGAAGCAGCTGGGAGCCCCAGCCATTTCCTGCTGCCCATTGCAATAGCGCGTTCTGCGAGGGGTTTGCAAAGCAAATTCCAAACAGGAAAACTGCTCACTGCTGTCTAGGGTGTGTGGCCTACATTTCTAGTCACCTACCCTTGTGGTGAGAACACAGAACACGAGTCTTACCTCTGATTCACATTTCAGGTCCACACACTAAAACAACGTTTGTTCTCCATGTCAGTTTTCTTGAAGAAGTCCTTTGGAAGGCAGAATGACAGAGACAGAGATTTTCCATCTGCTGGTTCACTCCCCCAAATGTCCACAATGGCTGGGGCTGGTCCACACCAAAGCCAGAAGCCCAGAACCCTATCTGAGTCTTCTACTAGGGTGGCAGGGGCCCAAAAACTTTTGGCCATTTTCCACTGCCTTCCTAGGCACATTAGCAGGGAGCTGGATCAGAAGCAGAGCAGCTGGGACTCGAACCAGTGCTCTGATATGGGATGCCAGTGTCACAGATGGTGGCTCACCCAGCTTTGCCACAGAGCTGGCCCCAAAATCATTTTCAAAGTTGGGAGCTGAAGCTGAGGGCAGAGCAGGAAGGTACAGAGGTTTGGAGCTCTCTGTTCCACGCAGGCCGGCTCCCTCTAAGAACACCAGTGCCAGCTCTGGGGTCCTGTGTGCAGTCTTTTCTATACTCGGGTTAAGAAATCATGAGTGTTCGTTATCAAGCAGCATTTAGAAAAGTGCCCATTCCAGGGAAGGGGAAAAAGAAACAAGTGAGAAGCCAGGTAATTTCACACTTGGCATAGAGCTTGTTCTTCCTGTAGGAAGCTCAGTAGTGCTCTGGCCTTTGAGTGATGGGTGTCTTCACTGAGCCTTACGTTACCAGACAGGGCAGAGGCCTGCTGATGAGCACACACCCTTGTCTGTCACCTGCTGCTGTGAGCAGCCAGACACAAAGTTCCTGAAACACCTTTCCCTGTCCCTGTCGCTTGAAGTGACCGTGAGCTCCCAAATTTCACAAATCATCTTCTGAATGATGACCCTGCTTTGACCATCAATGTCTGTGTCCCATCTTGGACTCATGTCAAAGTGCCTTCTGGGAGGACAGGTCAGGATATGTATGCTCAGTCTCAGAGCTCAGCCTTGAAGGGTGCAGACGACAGATTGGGTCAGTGTTTCATGCCAGTGGATTGCAAAGGAAAACTATGTGGTTATTCCTGGGTACTGCCACTTCCTTGTTCTGTGGGCGTGGTCAGCTGTCGGGACTGCTTCTGCTGAACACAGTAAAAGCCCCCTGTTCATCAGTCTTTCCAGGACCCTGCGTTCTCTTCTGTCCATCAGTCTGTTAGCACGTTTTCACTCACATTCCTGCCCCTGTGTGGGTCTCCTTTGTGTGTTTTTGGGAATGCCCCCTCTGAGGCCACCCTGAACATGACTGAGGAAAAGAGTCCCGTATGCCACACTTCCCCCTACTTCCAAAACCAGTTTAAATCACCTAATTTTTCTTCCCGTTGTGTTTAAAGACACCCATGTCACTGCATCCCATGAACACGACTGATGATTCAAGGGTGTACTTGTTGGGTAATGTAACTTCACAAGGCCCACAGGTCAATAAATAAAACCAACATACCCTACTGTCTTTATTATCAAAGTTTATTGTTGTGGGGGGAGGGGGAGAGTCAGTTCCTAACTACCAGGGAGTACGACTAGGTCTCTGGATGTGCTATATTAATTCTAGGGTAACAGCTTTCTGCAAAATAGCTGTACTGGGGCTCTGTCAGGCAAACATCATTAAGTCAGTGGAAGAGTGAGCCCAGAAAGACCCTGACAGGAGAGCCATTACTCTAGGGAAGTTCCAGTGCTGTGCAGCCTGTAAGGCATCATCTCTCAGGCGACGAGGAGCCGCTGGTGGGATGAAATGGGAGTTGAGCCCATTCTCTACTCCTCGCAGGATGCTAACTATGGCTCCAATGCAAGGAACCAAAGTTAGGTCCTACAAAATGTGTTAAGCTCCCAAAGTGTTGCGGTATGATATAAAGGAAGGGTTAGGAACTAGGACAGTGGAGGAAAAATTAAGAATTACATGGAATGGAAACTTGTGGAGTGGAAAGTAGCTGGGTTTAGATGCCATTTGGAATGACCAAGGACACAGGACAGGCCAGGACAAGGAGGGAAACAATTCAGATACTTAAAGTTATTCAGATACTGGAAGTTAAGTGTCCCCCCCACCCGAGGGGGGGAAATTGGGTTTAAAAAGAAAGGTGAACAGGAAAATTAGTACCTGAGTAGAAATAGGTATTTCAAGATGCCAAGAGCAGTATAATACACAGTTAAGCTGTCTACCGGAAGGAAAAGTGGTTATGGTAGCTTGCTACATCGATTTGACACTGCAGTGACATTTCCAGCAATGGCTTTGTCTGCGAGGTTCTGTTGTATTTTGTAGCACGTAGAGCCTTGAAGGAATGTGTTTGTGACACTCAACTTACACGGGGATGCAAATGACTGTGGTGTGAAAACTGAGCGAAATTCCACCACTTCCTGTCTCCCGCTGGGCAGGAGATTAGAAATCTCAAAACAGCTATGGCTATCTATCAGCCCAAGCCCTCCCACCACCAGTGTGATAAAAAATATTAAAGCTAGCCCTAAAGCGCGTGTCAGTTGAGTCTCAGTGGGCCATGTACCATAGTAGACAGCAGGGGATTTACAGTGACGACTTCCGCGGGCAGCCTGAGAAACAAAAGCTGCGTTACAAGTGCCACCCTATCATTAAATATACTGACGGGGGGGAAAAATAGGTAGGGCCATTAAACGAGACCCTACAAAAGTCTAGCTGCCAAATGGATTGGGAAGATAAATAAAACAGCGTGGCTTATCTCAGCCTCGACCTTCCAGCCCACCTAGTGTGTCCACAAAGCCACCTGCCGGCACCATGCCAGGATGCCTTAGCGTCTCATCTTTTCCCCGAGGGGAAGCGGGCATGTGGCAGGTGCACTGCAGGGACACGCTGCGACCCGTGCGGATTGACCCGTGTGGGGCACAGGCTCTACTTGGGGAAGGGTTTTCAAAGGCAGAGTGAAACAGTCGTTGAGGTGCTCTCGCACTAGACTCGCGCCCACGCCAGGGCAGGAAGCAAGGGTCTCTTCGCTGGGAAAACACCTTTGCTCACTCGTATTTACACGTCTCTTCTGATGGGCACAGGACTCATCTCCACCACCAGACGCCAGGCAGAAGCAGCTTCTTCGCTAATTGGTTCTCCGCTGCAAGGACGGGTCCTCACCTTGGGATGCGGGGCGGGGTCGGGCTGTGTCCCCGCAGGGAGCGCACAGGCTGCTGCCGTCCGCCCTGGCTCTTCGAGCCCCGCTGCCTTGTCCTGCCGTTCTCGGGGCGCCCACACCTTCGGGAATAATCTTCTTGAGGATCGGCCTCCTCAGCTGTTCCAATCACAGTTCCATTGGCTGGAAAACAGAGAGCATGTAGGTGTGAATTAACCCTTGGATTTGTGGACACCTTGTAGCTTGTAACAGACAGTCATGTATCAGTCAGATTTCCTAACGGGTCAGAGGCCTGTGGGTCTTCTCCTAAGCGCCTGTCCATGGTGGGTGCCCAGGAGAACAAAGGCCCGTGACTGAGCAGACCCGAGTGCTTACGTTCACAGCTCCAGTGTGGAGTGTGGCGTAGCTTTTCTCCTTTTCCTCTTCTGCAAGTGTTTTTTTTTTTTTTTTAAATTGAGTTCCTGGCGTAGTAAAAATGGCATAGAAAATTTAAAATGCACAAGAATGTTTATCTAACAAGGAGAGGGGAGAATGCAAATCCACTCTGACTCAGCGCTCGCTCTCCAACGGAGGCAGTACAATGGCCAGCACAAAAGCGAGGCCAAATTCGTGAGTTTCTGAGAGGAACACCAGAACAGAAAGCAATTTCTGGGGCTGAGCCGCTGCTCGCTCCGGCTGTAACCGCAGGGATCTCAGAACCAAGTGACAAGCACAGCTCGATTTGGGGCAAGGAGGCAGACCCGAGTCACTTCAACACGCAGACGCGTTTATGCAAGCACGGCGGGAAGTGGGGTGAAGGCTGGCTGCTGTGAGCGTCTCTTGGAGAAAACACGAGCTCAGAGGTGGAAACGCCTCACTGTACGTGTCAGCGTCCTCTGTAAAAGGGAGGGGCTCCTCCTCCATGCAAAACTGCAGGAACAAAGTAGTTGTCAGGGGCAGGAGCCGGCGACCGGAGGTGTTCGGCTGCTCCTTCTGTCAAGGGGCTCCAAGGTCATGGACATGGAATGAGAAGACTGTGTTCCCCCATAAGCTTTGTGAAGCCCCCAAGTGTTCCTCCCCTGTGTGTGGCCACTCCGCTGCTCTTTCGAGGGCTGTGCCGTGCAAGGGACACTGGGGGCCGACTACACTTCTGCTGTCTCTATTAGGCCCCCATTCCCTGTTTCCTTTTTCAAAAAAGACGTTTCTATTTTCATCTACTTGAAAGGCAGAGCTGTGGCAGGGGCCGGGGCAGGGAGAAAGTGACTGATTATGGTTTATTTCCCAAATGCCCACAACAGGAGTCCAGAATTCCGTCTAAGTCTCCCATGGGTGGCAGGGACCCAAGTACACGGTCCCTCCTTGCAGGGTGCTCATTAGCAGGAAGCTGGATTGGTGAAGGAGCCAGGAGTTGAAACGGGCACTCCAGGCTGAGATGCAGGTGTCGCAGTGGCAGCTTAACCCACTGTACCACAGTGCCCCCCACTTCTGCCCTCTCCATCTCCCCTTCAAAGCTGCTCCTCTTCTGTACTTGGCCATGAAAATCCCAGGCCTGTCATCCCAAGCCCTCACACTTTACTCACTGTAGTCCTACATCTGCCTTTCTTGGTGCAAAGATTCAATTTAAAAATATCTTCCTTCAGGGGCCAGCACTGTGGTGTAGAGGGTAAAGCTGCCACCACCTGTAGTGCTGGCATCCTATATGGGCACTGGTTCGAGTCCCAACTGCTGCACTTCTGATCCAGCTCTCTGCTAACGTGCCTGGGAAAGCACTGGAAGTGCTTGGGCCCCTGCCACCCACATGGGAGACCCGGATGAAACTTCTGGCTCCTGGTGTCGGATTGGCCCAGCTCTAGCCATTGCAGCCATTTAGGGAGTAAACCTGTGTACAGAACTCTGTCTCGCTCTCTTTTTCAAATAAATCTGTTTCTTAAAAACAAAAACAAAAACAAAAAAAACTCCCTTGAGACATCTGCTGACTACAAGTGACTATAACTGCCCACTGCATGTGGAGGAAGTTTTGAGAGACCAAGATGTTTTGTTGAAACAAACAAACCACCTCTCAGATCCCCAGGGAGAGGCAAGCAAACGCTGTATTATTTCCCTGGTGGACGCAGTGTGGACCACCTGGACTGAGACCAGAGGCACTAGTACTGCTCCGTGTCACTGTCCTTCAGGCCAGAGAGAGGGCACACCTGCCCCCAGTGCAGCAGGTACACGTGGCACACAGCAGCCCTGAGTGACCAGCACGGAGCAGAAAGGAAAAGGCAGAGCTGGCTTTTCACATCACGCTCCGTGTGACCTGAGCAATGTCAGACTTAGGCTCCTTCAAGCCCAGGGCAGCCCGCAGATGAAGGGTTCTGGCCACTCACTCTTTGTTCACTGTCCCTATTGTGCAAGTGCTCCTGGTCCAGGCCACAGAGAACAATGAGGCCAGATACACAGGGCGCACGCCAGGACGTCAACAGTGTCCGTCAGGCAGTGCCGGTGGCCTGTCATCTGCACTTGCGGGCATTGCAGAACAGGGACCAGCGGCGCACGCACACGCATCAGCGTAGGTGCTGGGTGCGTACCCCTCACCAATTACCTGAGCTGCTTCTCCCTTCAGTGGCCCACGGTCACGTGTTCTGGGTCACACTCTCTGGGCGCTTCGCCGCCACCGGGCGGCTCACTCTCAATTTCCCACAGCACGTCGTCTTCCTCCTCCAGGTTGCTGGAGATGTGGCACTTCTTGAAGCCCTGGACGATGGCTTCGCTCGAGATGCTGTTCCAGGCCACCATGACCCACTCGAGGAAGAGGCCCAGGGGCGGCTTCTTGGCGTTGCCAGTGGGGCTGAGGGCCAGGTTCCCGGCCAGCAGCCAGTTGGAGTACTGGGCCCGCACGCTGTCGTTGAGTGGCTTGTAGACCACCACGTCCAGCACCTGCAGCTGCGAGGTCAGCCCGCCGGGGATGATGACCATGTCCGTGTTCAGGCTCTCCATGGAGCTCTTCACCGAGTCGGTGGCGTGGCCCCGGAAGCCGTTCAGGATGAGCATGCCGCGCTGCTTGGGCGCGCCGGCGCCCGTCCGCCGCCTCCACACCACGTCCAGCCAGTCCTGCATCAAGTCCTCGGTCATCCACCCGTAGCGGTGGCAGCGGATCTCCATGCCGCTGGGGAACTTGCCGGGGGGGATGTAGGTGCCCCTGAGGATGATGTAGGGGGGCAGCTTCCTGCCGTCGGCCAGCACCCCGAGCATCGCCGTGATCTTGAGCTTCTCCCGCCCCGGCGTCTTCACCAGCACGGGCTTCTCGCCCTGGTTGTCCACGGTCACCCGCGACGGCACCTCTAGGCAGATGGGCGTCTCGTCGGCGTTGCCCATCTGGGCCACCTCGTAGTCATGCGTCCTGCGCAGGGCCAGCACGCTGCGCTGGTAGGTGACCAGCTTCTCGGTCAGGTCCTCGGGCAGGTGCTGGGGCACGGGCACCTTGTGCCTCAGCGACAGGTCGTACCTCCGCATCATCCGGCGACACCAGCCCAAGCTCGCCTTGAAGCCCTTCTCGGGAATGTTCATCTCCTGGGCGATCTCCAGCGCTTTCAGCTGCATCGCCTCCCTGGTGATGGGGTCCCCTTTGGCCTGCATGTACCGCACATACTCGGCCACGCGCTGGTCCACCAGGGCAAACCTGCCGTTCTTGGGGCCCCGGAAGGCGCGCCGCATGGCGTGGGCGTTCTGTAGCTGCGGCTTCACCTTGCGCCAGTCCCGCACGTTCTTTTCCAGCACCCCGAACTGCTTGGCGGCCTGGCAGTTGTTGGTGCTCTCGGCGTACTCCACCACCATCAACTTGAAGCCCGCGTCGTAGCTGCGCCGCACGCCGCGGCCAAACTTCCCGGCTATGTCGTCGGCCGAGAGGTCGTAGCCCGGGAAGCCCATGGCCACGTAGAAGGGGTAGCCCTCGCTCCACTCCGGCAGCTCTGCCAGGTCCCGAGGCAGCCGGAGGCCCAGGCCATCCAGGGGCTGGGGCTGGGGAAGCTGGGGGGTAGAATTCGTGGGGCCCGCCCAATCCGGAGGCTTAACGTCAGAGTCTTCGTTCTCTGCGGAGGGACACAAAACAAGGCCGGTGAGCACGGTGAGGCTGCCCCGGGCCAGCCGGCTCAGGACGCTGCATCTGAGGTTCACCCAAACAGAGGTGGCGCCGTCTGAGGCCTTTCCCGAGAGTCTCCCAGTGCTTTCACACACAGACCTCCGTGGTGAGGGGAGGGAGGCCACGCAGGCTAGCGGCTGACAGAGCCGGGTACTGAGCACTGGCCCTGAGAGGCCGGGGGCCAGTGCGACCTTACAGGGCTCTGTGTGCATCACGGCTGGATCCCAGTCCTCAAACAAGAGAACCTGCTGCAAACAGGACACACAGCCAAGTGCAGTTTTTAAGGCACATAAGTGGTCCTCGCACACCGGGTTTCACCGGATGCCTCTATTTAGAAGGCAGTCACGGAAGCGGAATACAGCTCGGGCAAATGACCCTATCTATCTCAAACTAAGCCGCCACCAGCTCACCATGCGCCATGGCATGCCACTCAGAAAGGCAGGAGTGCCGCTTGGTGAATGAGGGCACGGTAGCAATTTTAAGAGGCGTTTCGATTTCGGAGTTGTTCAATGTGGTGGTGGGGAAGCAAGTCTTAGGATCAGTGACCTACGGCCTTTTAAACTCTTACCCGTAGAGAAAAAGGCAAATGAAACTGTTGTGACCTGGGAGTTTCGCTGCATTTAATCAACTGCTCCTCTCCTGTTTTCTTGGTAAGCGGACATTTTTGCCTAGAAGTGTACTGCAGTGTTCACTGCTTTTTCTACCCAGTGTGCCATGGGCAGAAGCCAGGGTAAATAACTTTGGGAGCACGCGTCCTCCCAGCGTTCCCTGGTTTGTGTAGGCACAGGGCATGCTCCTTTAGTGGCCAGGATGTAACTGGACCAGGGGCTGCACGAGCCCACTCTGCTTCCTCTGCATACCAGGTCGCACACGCGCGCTCAGAGAGGTCAACGATGCTGCCTGAGGCCACACAGCTAGCCCTGGAAAGAGGGAGAGCTGTCAGCCCCCAACCCCACTCTTCACTGCCCTACACAATGCACAGAGAAACCGACGAGCCAGCTTCTTGGTGCTCCCGCCTGGATGGGTGCGGAATGCGTGGACTTGCGGTACCTGCAAAGGTTCCTCCTTGGAGCGGCCACTCATCCGAAGTCTGAGACTCCTCCTCCCTTTCCAACCGTGCGATCATGTCTGGCTTAGGGAATGGGAATTCTGTCCAGAGACAAAACCGACAACAGCTGTGTGTTACTGTCCCGCAGCTCCAGCGTAAGTACTTAGTAACACACATGCACCAATTCTGGCCCATGGCCCTCCACCTTGTGAAAGGCAGGGGGCAGCAAGCCCGGGGATGTTTCCAGATAACAGGTCCGTCCAGGGGAGGGTCTGTGTTCTCCGACAGGGAGGGTAGATGCTAGCCTGCACTTAGCAGGCACGTCGGAGGGACGCAGCCGCTGATCCAGTGAACGTTTTGGTCCCCGTATGAGCAAATCGGGAAGTCCCTCCAAGTGGCCACACTGTGATAAGACAGGCGGCATCAGCGCTGGCAGGGGAGCGAGTGTTCTTTGGTGGTGGGGCAGGTATTATGCCCCGACGCTCTGGGCCATGATAATGTGTGGCCTGCCTTCTCCCCCCAAAGAGGATGGCAGCCCAGGCCTGGGCTCAAGGGGAGGCTTCCCGAGTTATGTGAATGTCTGTGTTGAAGGCGGGTGGGTCTGGGAGGTGGCATGGTGGCAGTGTGGGAGGACACAATATTTACATCCTGCCCTAATCAAAACAGGAAACTACATGGGCACCAGCACGCAGAGGACGGAGGCCCAGTCCGGGAGACAGGAACGCTGGATGCACGGACATGACCCTCCCTCGGCTCAGGGCTTGCAGGAGACGAACACAAAGCTTTACCCAGCGACAGCACAGTCTCATAGTTCATCCTCATGACTTCCCGGTACAGGGCCTTTTGTGGCTCGGTCAGAACGTCCCACTCCTCGTCAGAAAAGTATATGGCCACCTCATCAAACAGGGCTGGGACCTGGAACAGCAAACGGGCCCGTCTCAGCAACCAGCAGGCACACGCAGGCAGGGACCACCACAGCTGGGACCCGGGTCGGGGTGAGGATGGCGGCAGGCAGCTGTTCACAGGCTACTGGTGACACGATGTGCCCCTGCCGCTGGCGCTGTTCACACAAAGCGCCCAAATGCCCACCACCAGGCTGGCAGACACAGAACACCTACCGCATCCTCACTTTCTGCAGTGACAGCTGCTCACGGTTCACCTCTGACACCAGTGACAGAAGCCATCCCCACCCAGAGGAAAGTGTCCCACCAACATGCCGGCCCGGAAGGACCTCCAGCCCAGGGGTGGGGTGTGCTGTAAATCCAAACAGGATTACTGCTCCCCGGAGGCCGCACTGGGTCCCAGGGCAACTCATCCTACCTGGTGTTGGACTGGGGACCCAAAGCTGCCCAGACAGGAGGGGCCTGCTCGCATCCCCTGCTGCCCCTTCCCTGGCCCTGCAGCGGCCAGTGGGGCAGGAGCTGAAGGCAGCCAAGCCACCCAAACCAACCCCTCTTTGTTTTCTAAATGACTGTGCTTCCCACGGAATGCGTTTTTTCTTCCCGTCATTAAAACCCATTCTTGGAATCCCACTGCAGTCGGTGGTGAGAACTCCCTGGGACACTTTGGTCACTGTGGACTCTCGGCCTTCCAGGCTGTTCTGCAAGGCCCTGTCTCGGCCTGGCCTCAGCTAAGAATACTGACGTCCTCGGGTGTCGGCCGTCTGTCGGGCAGTCATGCTGGCCTTCCCTCTCAGGACACTCTGCACGCGGGAGGCACTTCCAAGGAAAGCCCTTGGACCCGTGTCCCTGACTGCCCTCCTGCTGCCTGTGGAGAGGCAGAGAAAACCCCACTGAATCAAGGAGATGGGCTCACATAAGCCTCATTTGCTGGCTAGCGTTACACAGCCAATGGCAGGTGGAGATCTGGACCTGTCCAGGCTCCAGCTACACAGAGCAAAGCTGCCACCCCCGGGGACTGAATCTCCACTGCCCTTAGCCGGCCCCTTCATGCTCCAGCCACACTCAGCTGCCCGCTCCTCCTTGCACTAACCACTCCCTGATACCCCCACATCTCTGCCCACGGTCTCCCTGGACTTGGTGGACAGCCACCCAGATGCCCTGCTCTGTAGGAAGCCCACTCACTGCAGGCTATGAGCAGCCCTGGGCGGCCGGCACACCTGGCTCGGGGCTGCAGCTGCACCTGGGACACTCAGAGTTCTGCTGGTTTACCTGTGTGCTCCTGCTGCTGCCGTATCCGCTTGCCCCGAGCACGACCTGTGCTTACTCCACATGCCTTCCCTGTGCCTGGGCTACTGCCTGTAGCCAGTCGGCACTTACAAATAAATGGCTTTCTGGGTAAACAGTCTAGGCAAATCATCTCTGGATTTTCCTTCTCTGGTTCCGCTCAGGAGAGTTTCAAGGCAGCACTCAATTTTACCTGTCACTGAACCGAGCCGCCTCCTCCTGGGAGCCGGCCTGGAGAGCCCCGCAGTATGAAACACCAGGCGGTCAACAGGAGTGGTGGCGAGGCTTTCCCAACTTCCCCCTCCACCTGCACGGCCAGCCAGCCTGGGGATCTGCCACCCACTCCCTTCACACCTCCTAGAGGCTTCCAAGAACCCGCCTGGGCCTTTTCTCTCCCCTGCCAAGTCCCAGATCTAGGCCATACCTATTTATAGCCCCCTTTCCTTTCCTCGGTAACACGCGACACAGGACGGGCAGCCCTGTTCTTAGGCCTGAAGCTGTGCCCAGAGGGCGGCGGGCAGGTGGGTAATTCCCACACCCACACTCTGCTCCAGGAGAGGAGCGGTCAGCTGCTTCCCAGCTCTCCTCCTCGTGCAGTAACCCTCCAGCCAGGCCCCTGGCCCCAAAGCAGCCTTTTATCTGGCCAAACACAGCAGAAGGTAAACACGTCCAGCCCTGGGCCAAACCGAGAAGCCAGACAGTCTGCATCCAACCTCCAGGCACACTGCTGACCTGGCAGTCAGGGGCCCTCCCGGCCTGCCCTCTGCCCCCACCCTCCCAGGAGATCAAGGATTCATCTGATAAGGCTTGTGTGCACTGCCTTGCTGTGTCTGCTAGGCTGGCATTCCAGCGCTGAGCTCCAGGGGAACCTGGTGTGAAGTGTTCACACACAGAAGCCCCCTCCCCCCCAGGGCGGGGAGCCCCAGGCCACGGCTCTGAGGCAGTGAGCCTGCAGGCCTGCACTGAGGAGCACCTGCTGTGGGCCAGGCACTCTCCCTGGTGTAATTACATTATCTCACTGAATACTTTAAGTAAGCCAGGGATCTGGGGATTTCTACCCACGGTGATGGGAGGGAAACAGTGGGTCAGTAACTCGTGCATGGTCACAGAGCTAGAAAATCTGATTCCATAGCCTGTGCTGTCTCAGCAGTCCATGGCAGCCTCAGCAAGGTGGCATGGAAAGACAGGCTAAGGACTTCTCAGTGCCAACAAGCGGAGCACTTACACTTCTGGCGCAGCCTACCACGCTCTCCTGGCTGGCCCTGGTCCCTGGCTGGCCTACTTCTCCCGGTGCTCTCCTCCCACTCTCCACCCTGCACTTCAGGGCCCAGCTGCAGAAGTTCTAACTCTCCATATTCGCTGGGCTCTCTGGGGCCTCTGCATGCGCTGTCCACCTGCCCGCAGTGCAAACCTCCTGCCTTCCCCTGGCTGAGCTGGCTCATGTCAAAGTGCAAAGCATTTTTTTTCCTTTTTCCTATTTGAAATTATAATTCTATTCCAAGTCTGCAGAATGTTATCCTAATATATACTACAGTGCTTAGGATGGTGGAACAGCTTGTGTCGACCACTCTAACATCATTCTCTGCAGCCAGAACATCTATTTAAAAGACAGACTCAATTCCTCCCTTTCCCTAACTGAGTGCTGCCGAGTTCAGCATTGTGGACATTCTGGGCCAGACGGCTCTTTGTGGCATGTGTGGTGGACAGCAGCCCTGTGTACTGGCACTGCAGTTACTCAGTGGTGCCCCTGGCCCATACACATCCAATGCCGGCAGGATCTCCCCTCCAATCCCCGCCTCCAGTTGGGAGAACCAAAAGTGCCTACAAACTCTGCCAAAGGGGCAGGGTAGGGGAAGTGGCCCAAGACCAGGCCTGGTCCGAGTTCCCCAGCCTGAGTGAAGCCTCTGGCGTCTCGGTTGCTGGCGCATCCCTAGCATCGTCAGGAGCTGGCCCTACCGCGGCATGCTCACAAGATGGGAAACTTCACAAGAGGAGGGCTCCTGTCTTCAAACCCAGCACTGTGCTCACTAACCAGGGATGGGGGCGGGACGCCTGGAGGCCACCAGTGCCCAAGCCCCAGCGCCACCACGCCACCAGCTTCCCTCCCCCAGCTCCTCTGCTTGCTTCCTTCTTTCCCAGCACAAGCATAGCCTTCCCCTGGCTCTCTCTCATCGCCCCAGCACACTCACAGATCCACTCCTACTGCACCTGTGCCCCACGGCTCACCACTCCCTGTGGATGTTCTGGGCTGGCCACCCGAACCTCAGCGCTTTGAAGCCTTACACTGGACTGCATGGGACTAAATGCTGGGGAGGAGATCAGGGTGAGCAAAGAACACGGACCAGACAGACATGGCTGGACTGGACTGGATCTACACTGCTTCGAAAGGCAAAGCTCAGGGAGCCGGGGCACAAAGCAAACCTTTAGGCACCCCAGTTCCCTTACAGGAGAAAGACTGGACAACTGGGGAATGCCATGGCTGTACCATTAGGGACCTCTGGTTGGAAAAAAGGGAGACTCCGCAGACACACAATGGAAAACTAAGCAGAGGAAGGAATGTTAATTTGTTGCTTACTTACAATGTTTACAAGTCATGGCAGTCACCAGGAAGTTCAGGAACTACTGTGAATAACCAAGTATACACTAACTCTCTGTTGCACTGACTTTTGCCTAAGTTCACTCTGCCATCAGCACACCATTCCACTTGCAAATGCTAAACCGCGTCTGTCCTCCTTGCTGCTGACCATTTCAACCCAGGCCTGCTGGACCTGCAGCTCTCCCGGGGGAGCTACTGTAAGAGGTACTTACACAGGACCTCATGTCACCCCGGTGAGCCAGGTCTTCCTTAAAATGATCCCCTTGAACCAGCCAGTAAGTCAGCATGCGTGAATTTGGTGCCTGCAGTGTGCCTGGCATGCAGCAGGTGCAGGGGGAAATGGGTGGAGGCACAAGGTCCACACTTCCAGCAACAGGTGCTTCTCCATGCCCTAAGCAGGAGACTGAAAGCGAGCCCAGCTCCCAGGCCTGCTTCTCAAGGCGGGACGTGGACTCCACACCTTCTACTTACCCATCCGCCCTCCGAGCAGATTCGGACTTTCTGCATATCTGTGGGGTGATCCTCCAGCTGCCGGCTCTCAATCTCTTCTTCCTCTTGCTCTTCCTTCAGGGTTACATGGAAAGGGAAGGCCGTGGACTCCATCTCTGCAGACAAAAAACGGGTTGTGGGTATGAACTCTCCCCCTCACGGGGGACGGTGCCCAGGAGGGCTCGGCTACGTACCAGCCCCGTCCAACCTCAGTACTACTGCAACCAGGATGCAGCCAGGCAAGTGAGGAGGGCTGGGGTGACACATTTCATTATGATAAGAGGAACGGGAGGTAGATGACCCATCTGACTACCTCCAAATATCACAAGAGCTGTCTGGGGAAGAAAGCCCAGGCCGGATGGTGGAGACCAGAGAACTGAAGAGCAGAACCAAGGCCAGTGTGTAAAACTTCCAAGGAAGAGGTTTCCAAGGGTGCAGGGAAAGGCATGTCTTTCTCAGCCCAGAACCATGGGCAGGAGAGGGGTGTGGACTTCCTGTCAAAGCAGGTGTCTGAAAACAACAGGGGCACTTACTCCTTTGGGTTGGTACCATCAGCCTGGGGAGATTGGTTGGCCCTAGGATACCCCTCACCTGGATTTTCCAAAGAGCAAGGTCCTATCCACGAGCCTTTCAGAAAACAGAACCCTGCTGCCTTTCAAAGGGCTTTCCAAACCCGGGAGGCAGTCCTAGGCACGCTGCATACTCAAGAAAGTGCACACAGTTGTGGGGCGCCCACCCAGACCCGCAAGCGACTTGGGTTGCAGAATCGGCCGACCTAGGCCGGCCAGTACAAAGGGCCGCGCGCCTGTGCCCTCGGAGCGCCGGCGACACCCGGGTGCCCCTGGTGAGATTGCCTCTCGTGGGCTGCACCCCCCGAAATTCCAAAGAAATGGCCCCCACGAAGTGCAAAGTGGGTGTCTTGGAGACATCCAAGAGACACAGGCGCACGCGACAGGGACGGGTCCGGGGCGATGGGACAGGCGGCAGGGCCCCAGCACTGGGGGCCCGAACTTGACCGCAGCCCCCGCCAGCGGCTCGGGGGCAGGAGGTGGGAGGGGCTGCTGCCCCGGGAGAAGAAGGTGCCCACAGCGGCCGCCGCCGCCCGCCCACCGCGCCCCGCCCGCCGCCGCCGCGCCCCCGGGCGCGCTCGGATTTCTCCAGCCATCTTGTCCCATTTCCCTTTCTCCGCGGCCCCGCGCCGGGAGCGCTCCCGCCGGCCCCCGCCGTCCGGCCCGCCTCCCCGCCAGGCCCCTTCCCGGCCCCAGCGCACCTGCCGGGAGGCAAGAGCCGGCGCCGCCCGCCTGCCCCGGCGGGACCGCAACAAAGGCGGCGGCGGCGGCGGCGGCGGCGGCAGCTGCAGCCTCGGCGCCCCCGCCCCCGCCGCGGCCCAGCCGCCCGGGGCCCGGGGGAGGGGCCGCCCCGCCCCACCGCGCCGCCCGCGTGCACTCACCGCGGGGCCGAGCGGCCGGGGCGCGGGCCGGGCCGCCGGAGGGGACGCGAGGGCTGCGGCCCGGCTGTCACAGCGCCATCCTTTCCGCCTCTCCGGCTTCCCCGTGCGCGCGGCCCCGCAGGAGGGAGCGGGCAGGACACGTGGTGGGGACGAGGGAGGGCCCGGCCGGGAGCTGAGGGTGTTGGGAGGCGAGGGGAGGAGCGCGGCTGATGTCAGCAGGCCTCGGCGGTGGCGCCGCTTCCGCCGGCCGCGGTGGCCGTGCCCCCTGGCCTCTCCCCCCGGCGCGGCGCGGGCCGCCGTGAACGCGCCCGAGCGCGGCCCGGCAAGCGCGGAGTTGTCTTCGCGGCCAGAGTAGCGTGGGAGCGCACGGTCGGTGACCCTGGCGTCCGCCGGCGGTTTGCATGCGTGGGCTGGAAATTGCACGCCCAGAGGCGGGCCGTGCCTCCCGCGGGCAGGCCAGACCCGCAAGGTGTCCGAGGTTTGTTCTGTCCGGAGAAGGAACGCCGGGACTGCCCAAGCACGCGTTCCGTGCACCAAACCGGCGTGTCGAAGCAACGTCGCCGAAACGTTCGAAGGAGTTGCTGGCTGACAGCTCGGCGGGCAGTGCGACAAAAGTAACCCAAGGACCCCCGAAGAAGATTCTGGGCTTCGGTTTATGTTGAACTTTTGTTAAAAGACTATTGATAGTCTGGCACCGCGGCTCACTAGGCTCATCCTCCGCCTGCGGCGCCGGCACACCGGGTTCTAGTCCCGGTTGGGGCGCCGGATTCTGTCCCGGTTGCCCCCTTCCAGGCCAGCTCTCAGCTGTGGCCAGGGAGTGCAGTGGAGGATGGCCCAAGTCCTTGGGCCCTGCACCCCATGGGAGACCAGGAGGAAGCACCTGGCTCCTGGCTTCGGATCGGTGCGGTGCGCTGGCCGCAGCGCGCTGGCCGCAGTGGCCATTGGAGGGTGAACCAACGGAAAAAGGAAGACCTTTCTCTCTGTCTCTCTCTCTCACTGTCCACTCTGCCTGTCAAAAAAAAAAAAAAAAAAAAAAAAAAAAAGACTATTGATGGTAATTAAACCAGTCAAAAGGACTTTTTTTTAAGCCCCCAGGGGGAGAGAGACACAAAAAAGCAAATGGCTGGGGAGTTACAGCCAAGGTGTGGAATGAGGGGCTCAGAGCGTGGAAAATTACTAAGAGAAGGAGCCTTGCTGAACCGACTGAACAGGATTCTTGCTGCAGGCAGGCCGCGGTGATCAGATGTCAATGTCAAGGGTGATGGAGGAGATAGCTGATCAGATATCTAGGGTGAGGGCTTCTCTCTAAACCGACTTAGCAAGATTTTTGCCAGGACTGCGCCAGGCCGGTAGGGGGTAGGGGTGGGGCAGGGGACCCAGGAGAGGCCCTCACCTGGGAAGAGGGCTCTGTAGTCTGACTAAGGTTCAGTCACAGAACCTGTAGAAGGTTTCCGATTGACCCGAGTTCCTGCTGGGAAAGAGCTCTTTTTGTTTCTGTGTGTATTCTGTCCCCCCTCGGGTGGGAGAGGCCGCTATGGGACTGCGCTCTTCATGCATAAGGTGTAATGACAAACACATCTCTGAAGTGTGATAATGACAGCGGAAGACCAGAGAAGATCTAATCAATAGAGAAAAATCCTTCAGATACAGCACGGGGTGTGGGAGGTGGGCAGAGTTTTTGTCTGTTGCAACGAGCAGTTATTTAAGTGTGCAGAGGTAGTATTTTGAGAGCAGGAGTGACAGCTTAAATTGGTGGCATTCCCATCCTCACGTTTGTGGGGAAATGGCAGGTTCCAATGGGAAAGTGAGAAGGGCGTTGGGAAAGGGCACGGGGCCTTTGAGGAATCTCAGCTGCTTACAGGAAATGAATACAGGTTAGGAGATAACTAGGAGACCATCTGTTAGGGTTTAGTCTCCGAAACCCTACTGTGCTTGTCCCAGGGAAGAGGCTAACCAGTAGTGACCCACTTGAATTCTTTTCTTTTCTTTTCTTTTCTTTTCTTTTCTTTTCTTTTCTTTTCTTTTCTTTTCTTTTCTTTTCTTTTCTTTTCTTTTCTTTTCTTTTCTCTTCTCTTCTCTTCTCTTCTCTTCTCTTCTCTTCTTTTCTCTTTCTTTCTTTCTTTTTTTCTTTTTTTTTTTTTTTGACAAGCAGAGTTAGCGAGTGAGAGAGAGAGACAGAGAAAAAGGTCTTCCTTCTGTTGGTTCACCCCCCCAAATGGCCTCTAGGACCAGGTGCTTCCTCCTGGTCTCCCATGGGGTGCAGGGCCCAAGTACTTGGGCCATCCTCCACTGCCTTCCCTGGCCACAGCAAAAAGCTGGACTGGAAGAGGAGCAACCGGGACAGAATCTGGAGCCCCAACTGGGACTAGAACCCGGTGTGCCGGTGCCGCAGGTGCAGGATTAGCCAAGTGAGCAGAGGCGCCAGCCCCACTTGAATTCTTGAGTCTGAGCCCAGTTACCATCAAGGGACATAGGTTTTTTGACAGATGTTATCATTGCTAAACAAGACTTACTGTATGCACAAGAACCTCCTGAGTGGTCTTTGTGCGTCGTCAGCACTTCTCTCTGCTTGGGTTTCCTAGTCTGTAAAAGAGTTGAACTGGACATCATGGAAGCCTTTGCTCTGCTCTGTTGATTCGGGAGCTTCTGGCCTTTGCTAGGGTGAAGATGCATAGACAATCACTCTCCCTCAACTCTGGGCATCAGAATGAGATAGTTTCTCAAAAAAGTTTTTTTTTTTTTTAAAGATTTATTTATTTGAAAGAGTTACAGAGAGAGAGAGAGGAGGAGAGGCAGAGAGAGAGAGAGAGAGAGAGGTTGTCCATCTGCTGGTTCACTCCCCAACCGGCTGTAACAGCCAGAGCTGTGCCGATCTGAAGCCAGGAGCCAGGAGCTTCTTCCAGGTCTCCCCCTTGGGTGCAGGGGCCCAAGGACTTGGGCCATCTTGTACTGCTTTCCCAGGCCATAGCAGAGAGCTGGATTGGAAGTGGAGCAGCCAGGACTCAAACCGGCGCCCATATGGGATGCTGGCACTGCAGGCAGCAGCTTTATCCACTACGCCACAACGCCAGCTCCTCAAAAAAAGTTTTTGAAAGATGAAAGAGAGAATGAGATAGTTCGTAGAGCCAACCTGACCAACGTGAAGTCCAATAGCACTGAGAAGAGATCCTTGTTCTAAGCTGCTGAGTTCTGTGGTGCCTTGTCATGCAGCGTTTTTGTGGCTTTATGCAGCTCATTGAGATAGAGACAAGATGCACCTGGGATGTAGGGCTCCTAACACTGGCCCCTGGCGGGGAGGGTGTTCTGGGACAGGAGAAAGCAGAATTGTCCATTTCAAGGTAGGCAAGGAGATCCTAGGTGAGGGTGGGGGAGGAGAGGAGACCCAACAGGGGGAGCAGTGTCACTGCTGACTGCCCTCTTTAGGGCTTTGGCACTTCAGAGGGAGAGCAAGATATGCCTGGGAGACCTGGATGACCCTGCTCTGCACAGTTCTTGGGAGGGCTTAGAGGCTCCTGGAGAGAAGAGGTGTGGCCAGAACACCTCAGCCTGTTGAGCACTGAGTGGTAGCCTCGTGCTAGCTAACATGGTAGTCTTGTGCTAGCTAACGTGGCAAACACACCCTGCATGCATAAAGGCTCAGACAGAACAGGAATTTATTGTCCGCTCATGCAGCAGTCTGCAGTGGCTGTTCCCAGTCTGCACGTGACTCCTCCAGGCCGGGATGTAGAAACCTACGTTCCTTCATGCTCGTGGATTTGCCACAACCTCGTGCCTTGTGATTTTCTTCACCCAGCAGAGTGAGGAGGGAAGAGGAAATGGAGGAGGCACACTCTTTTCTTGGCGGGATGCATTTCTCTGCTGATAGTCCACAGGGTGAGATCAATTATGTGGGCAGGGGTGAATGGGAAGGGGCTGGAAGATGTGCACGCTGGGCGCCCTCCAGTGGTCACTCCGTACCCGAGAAGGGTTCCTTGGAATTTTGCCTTTGCCACAGAATGCTTTTTTTCTTTGAAAACTAAACATTTTGCTCCATTGTCTTCTTACTTGCAAGATTTCTGATTTTGTTTTTCATTTTTTAAGGATTGATTTATTTATTTGAAAGTCATTTATAGAGATGAGAGGAAGGGGACAGAGAGAGATTTTCCATCTGCTGGTTCACTCCCCAGATGGCTGCAACAGCCAAGACTGGGTCAGGCAGAAGCCAGGAGCCAGGAGCTTCTTCCAGATTTCCCATGGGGGTACAGGGGCCCAAGCACTTGGGTCACTCTCTGCTTTTTCCATTAGCAGGGAACTGGATCAGAAATGGAGCAGCCAGGACATGAACTAGCACTCATGTGGGATGCCAGCCTCTTAGGAAGTAGCTTTACTCACTGTGTTACAACACCGGCCCCTGGTGTGTAGTTTTTACCCTTATTCCACTATGGGTGAGATGTCCCCACCCCCCAACCTTTTAAAATACCTTCTTGGGGCCGTCGCCGCGGCTCACTAGGCTAATCCTCCGCCTTGCGGCGCTGGCACACGGGGTTCTAGTCCCGGTGGGGGCGCCGGATTCTGTCATGGTTGCCCCCCTTCCAAGCCAGCTCTCTGCTGTGGCCCGGGAGTGCAGTGGAGGATGGCCCAAGTACTTGGACCCTGCACCCCATGGGAGACCAGGATAAGTAACTGGCTCCTGCCTTCGGATCAGCGCGGTGCGCTGGCCGCAGCGCACCGGCCACAGCGGCCATTGGAGGGTGAACCAACGGAAAAAGGAAGACCTTTCTCTCTGTCTCTCTCTCTCACTGTCCACTCTGCCTGTCAAATATATATATATATAAATATATATATATATAAATATATATATCTTCTTGAGATATATATATATATATATCTTCTTGAGATATATCTTCTTGAGGCTGGCGCTGTGGCACAGCGGGTTAACACCCTGGCCTGAAGTGCTGGCATCCCATATGGGCGCCGATGAGCCCCATCTGCTCCACTTCCGATCCAGCTCTCTACTGTGGCCTGGGGAGGCAGTAGAAGTCCTTGTGCCCTTGCACCCACATGGGAGACCCAGAAGAAGCTCCTGGATCCTGGTTTTGGATCGGCACAGCTCAAGCTGTTGCGGCCAATTGGGGAGTGAACCATCGGGTGGAAGACCTCTCTCTCTCTCTGCTTCTCCTCTCTGTGTAACTCTTTCAAGTAAATAAATCTTTAAAAAATATATTTTCTCTTTGTCTGATTTTCTGTAGTTTGGATGTTGTGTTAGTCAGTGCTGTCCTGAGAGAAGGAACTATAAGGAGATATATGTATATATATATATATTTATATTTATATAAAGAGGAGAGATCTATTATGGAAATTAATTGGTTCATACCATAATGGGGGTAGGCTGCCCCTTGGTGTGCTGTCTGAA